TCCTATTCGGATCATAAACGCAACCTTCATGAAGGGACGGGCATGCATAAATCGACCAAGAATGTGATTATATATATGCATATTATCCAAAGGAACCATGAGTCTATTCCGATTCCTTGTCGGTTACAAACGTATGTACAAAGACATATAATCTGTACCACAGTGTGCTTAAGGGAATAAAAAAATATTGGTTTAAAATTTTAGGCGGAAATTTTTAAATCACTTTAACAGTATTTTGAAGCATACTTTTAGGTGAATTAGTTATTTATTTGGTGCAAAGGCAATGTTGTATATGTGGTACAGGGTATTAAGTCTTTGTGCATATTATTGTAACAGGCAAAATCGAGATGATTCCTTTTGAGAATGCACATAGAATCACTTTCTGAGTCCGTCTGTGCATGTTAATTTGTATTGAAATAGGGAAAAATCGGTTCAGATTGTTATATAGCTCCCATACATATTTTCTTCCGATTTAATGTAAATGGTGCACCAAATTCCTTATATATATTCGATTTGCACATAATTTTGTACAGCGTATTAAATTAAGAAGATAATTATGTGTACTAAGTTTCGTAACAATCGGTTCAGATTAAGATATAGCTCCCACATATATTTCCGTCTTATTTTATGTAAATGGTGCACCAAAGTCCATATATATCTTTCGAATTGAGTCTAGAACAAGTGAAAAATCGTTCATTTCGGCCGGGCCGAACTTTGGATACCCTCCAACATAGATATACTGACAGATACTTGAAATAAAAATATAGGAACATAGCTAAAAGTGTACCTACATTTCTACAAACCGATTATGTTTCTAAATATTGGTCCTAGGCCCCATGTTTCTTTGGACCATATTTCTTTGCTCATCTTATTATTTCTTCCAAAATTAGTTCAAGTTCGAACATGGGGAATATCGGTACACTCCTTCTGGTACCTCCCACACAGGGGCTAGGCCTAAATGCGGGTTACATTTCATATATATATATATATAGGGAACATACCAAAAAGTGGATCTATATCGACATTTCTACAAACTGATTATGTAAACCAAAAAGTGCATCAAATACAAATATCTAATTGTTATTTATACCCTCAGTTTTATGGCTAATGTATAACCTTTGATACGCTAAAAAAGTGCCTCATCGAAATATTGGTTCTATATCCATGTTTTTTTGACTAAAACCGTTTTAGGAAATTTGAATTTCGTCCAAAATTTGCACATTTTATTATTTCGTCAAATAATATCCGACACAAAATGGTCAAAATTGTGCAAAAAATTAACTTTATAATATCATGCGAACGGACTAATCTATTTGAACCAAACTTTGAATAATCTATTATACTAACCAAGCCTAGATCTTGTAGAAAGATGGGACTCCACTCCAACGTTCCCAGGTTTTATTTCTCGAGGTTGGGTGGAAGCTGTTTCACTATGAAAATTGAAATTGCAGAAAAAATTTGTACTCATAGTACGTCCCTGGAGGCTATACCTTAAGCGGGACCAATGTTGATTGCATCGTGTAGGAATTACCGAATATTTGTAGTTATTATTATATGAGGTGCTACTACTGATTGAGGACTGATATAGCTCTATTTCGAAACTAACATGGAAAGAACCCCAAAATACCGATAATTAGAGGGGTCAGTTATATGGGAGCTATGCCTAAACGTGGGCCGATATATCCCATCTTCGAAATTGACCAGCCTGCAGATAAAAGACAAAAGACCTATGCTAAATTTCAGCACCCTATCTCAATTCCTTCAGAAGATAGCGTGATTACAAAAGACGGACGGACATGGCTATATCGTGATAGAATTTTACGCTGATCAAGAATATATATAGTTTATATGGTCGGAAATGAATATTTCGATGAGTTACAAACGTAACGACAAAATTAATATACCCTCCATACTCTGGTGGAAGGTATAAAAAGGGGGTTATATGGGGACGATCCCAAAAAGGGGCGATTATTAAAAATTTTTGTAGAGGGATTTGTTACCATATACGACTAGAAAATACCAAATTGCAGCGAATTTGCTTGAAAAACGCGCTCAAGAACCCCAAAATACCTAAAATTTGGGGGGTACTCTTATATGGGAGCCATCCAAAAAAATTTACTTATTTATAATTTTTTGTGGAGATATTTGGTACCTATTAAGAACTTAAAATACTAAATTACAAACAATTATGTGGAAAAAAATTATCGTATTTTTTTCCACCCCCAAAATACTGAAAATTAGGAGGTACCGTTATTTGGGAGCTAACAGAAAAAGTGGACCTATATTTATAAGTTTTAGTGAAGACATTTAGTACCCAATAAGAACCCAATATACCAAATTTCAGCGTATTCGGTTGAAAAACGCTCAAGAACCCCAAAATACCGAAAATTGGGGGTACTATTATATGGGAGCTATGCCTAAACGTGGACCGATATATTCCATCTTCGAAGTTGACCTGACTGCAGATAAAAGACAAACCTATGCAAAATTTCAGCACCCTATCTCAATTGCTTCAGAAGATAGCGTGATTACAACAGATGGACGGACAGACAGACATGGTTATATCGCCATAGAATTTATATGAGGGCTATCCGAAAAAATGGATCTATATTCATACTTTTTTGTGGAGAGATTTGGTGCCTATTAACAACTCAAAATACTAAATGACAGCTAATTCCAAAATACTGAAAATTAGGAGGTACCGTTGTATGGGGGCTATCAGAAAAAGTGGACCTATATTTATAATTTTTTGTGGACACATGGAGTACCCAATGTAGCAAATTTCAGCGACTTCGGTTGAAAAACGCGCTCAAGAACTCCAAAATACCGAAAATTGGGGGGCACCCTTTTATGGGAGCTATGCCTAAACGTGGACCGATAAAGCCCATCTTCGAACTTGACCTGCCTGCAGACAAAAGACAGAATTTTGGCGATCTATCTCAATTCGTTTAGACGCCAGAGTGATTACAACGGACATGGCTATATCGTCATAGAATTTTACGATGATCAAGAATATATATACTTTATAGGTTCGGAAATGTTTATTTCGATGAGTTACAAACGGAAAAACAAAATTAATATACCCTCCATACTATGGTGGAGGGTATAATGATAACTGTCAAACTTCGTGAAAATCGGTTCAGATTTATATATAGCTCTCATATATATTTTCGTCAGATTTTATGTAAATTATGCACCAAAACGCCTATATATCAATATATCGATTTGCATGAAATTTTCTAGACTGAACTGAGTCTAGAATGACTCGTGAAAATTGGTTCAGATTTAGATATATCTCCCATATATATTTCCCTCTCATTTTATGTAAATTGTGCACTAAAGACCCAAAGTTTGTACGATTGACACCCAATTTTACAATGTTATGAAGTTAATATAAATTAATCTCTGACAAGTTTCGTTGAAATTGGTTCAGATTTAAATATCGCCCCCATATACATACATATATTTTCTTTGGATTTTAGTTAAATGGTGCACCGAGTGACACGAAATTTTGCACAACGCATCGAATTGAGACTGGAATGACGTTATTCGGTTTTGTTGAAATTGGTCCAGATATAGACACAGCTTTCATATATTTTTTAAACGGGTGTCAGATTGAGATCATATTTCGAAGAGTGCGGCCTACCGAATAGCGTGAATGAATTTTGCTCTAAATCGATTTACATAAATTTGTCCCATTGTACGCAAACGACTCTAAACTTGCCCAAATGAAATGAATTTTAGCATAGGCTCCAGAAAGGCATAAATACCACATATCGTTTAATTTCATGTCAATTTTCTTTCGAAAAGGCGATGTCTGTTAGGAGACATATGTAGAATATACCCAAAGTGGTGATGGGTATCATATAGTCGGCCCAGTCCGACTTTACTACTTTCCTTACTGGTTTTTGTTAAAAATGTGTTAAATATATGAATAGACACGCTTGTGAATATATCTCGAAACACTGTGAATCAAAGCATTTGAAAAGAAGAGTATTTTATGACCAGATGATCTTCTTCTTTGTAATGCTAATGACCCCCTACTAAAATATTTCCGATTACAACACCTCTATTAGATGTCTTATTATAATATTATGTTAATACGCTGAACTCGGAATGTCAAATGGACGGATGCACCACAGCAGAGCTGTTTGAGTAGATCATCTTTTTTAATATGACTCGATTGTCGAGTTTCTTTTGGCATATTTGTTTTATCAGGTCAAGGTTAACTTCATCGTTGACATTTTTTAGGTCATCTAAATGTTTTATTTGGTTTTCTTTTTCTTCGAAAAAGAAGTAACGCGCATTGGAAGTAGAGTTAAAAATTGAGTTTTGATGTAGAAAATTAATTTCTCTATGATATTTGAGGAAAAATATATATGCCTTGGCCGTAAAAGAATAACGAATAACAACAAGAATAATATATATACCTTAAAAATATAATATAAACCTAATAATATAAACCTTAAAAATAAGTGTGCGAACGGTGGAGCTGTAATGGTATGACTCCGCCAATATAGAATTTGTAAGGCTGATGTAGTTAGCCTTCGAAAATTATTTCTCTAAAAGGTCTAAACAAAATTATTTAGCCTTACTAAGGGTGTTTGCTACTACTAAAGAAATGTGATGATGCAGAATCCATGATCATCTATGAGCAAGGTGTATGCGAAACTCCACATAATGTTGGTTTCCAATCAACATTTATACTGGGTTTAAGTATGTAAAATCGATTTAATAGAAATTGGATTAACCGATGTACTTATGGATTGATTGATTTCTAATTTTCTGGTATACCCCAAAAATAAATTTAAATTGTTTTTTTTTTTTTTTTTTGGAATTATTAATTTTTTTATTTAAACTCTAGCTAATAATATTAACTTATTCTACGAAAAAAACGATGTAACAGGGAACAGGTACAAAATGAGGTATGTGTTGTTCGGTTGTTCTGTTCTATATGGCCATTAACAACTTCCTCATAGAGGAATGCTTACTTAACTCTTCTAATGTTGGGGTGGTCCATAGGTTTGAGCGGGAACATGTTGTGGCACTGGTTCAGGGGCAACAAATGATGTCGAGGGAACTTGAACATTGTATTGTGGTGCAGGGGCACTATATTGAGGAGCAGGAGCATGGAAGTTGGGTGCTGGAGCTTGTACAGGAGGTAAATATTGATTAGATGGAGCGGGAACACTGTACTGAGGAGCTGGAGCGGGGGCGCTGTACTGAGGAGCTGGAGCAGGGGCACTGTATTGAGGAGCTGGAGCAGGGGCACTGTATTGAGGAGCTGGAGCAGGAGCACTGTATTGAGGAGCTGGAGCGGGGGCACTGTATTGAGGAGCTGGAGCAGGGGCACTGTATTGAGGAGCTGGAGCAGGGGCACTGTACTGAGGAGCTGGTGCAGGAGCATTGTATTGAGGGGCTGACTCATATACAGGTGGCAAATATGAGGTGGAAGGAGCAGGAGCACTGAACTGAGGAGCAGGAGCATTGTACACAGGTTCAGCAGCAGCTGGGGGCAAGTATGATGGCTCAGGAAGAGAAACATGAGACTCGGTTTGAGGTGCCAAATGGGATGTTGATGGACCAGCATCAGCTGAAGCCGAAGATGAGACATGTTCGTGAATTACACGAAGAACTTTGGTATGTTCTTGATGACTGGCACCGGCAGTGCCTGAATGACCTTGAGATGAGTGAATAACTTTAATGGTCTTGACAGGGGCTTGAGATTGAGTGTGGACATGACCATGACCATGGGAAGAGACTTCCTGTTGATGTACAAGAACATTGTTTTGTTCTTGGTGGCCAGAATGACCTTGAGATGAGTGAATAACTTTAATGGTCTTGACTTGAGGAGCTTGAGATTGAGCGTGGACATGACCATGGCTATGACCATGAGAAGAGGCGGCTTCCTGTTGGTGTACAACCTTGATGATTTTTTCAGCAGATGCATGAGACTCAACAGCATGACCGTAATTATAACCACCGTTAGAGTGAGATTCACCAGAATGTACTACTTTGATAACCTGGGGAGCGGCAGCAGATGAACTAACATGTCCTACACTCTGCGAGGATTGCTGATGAATAACCTTAATTACTTGGGGAGCAGCAGCGGCAGCATGTCCATGGCTGTGACCATGATCGTGACCAGCGGAATGTTGATGAATTACTTTAATCACTTTTTGTGGAGCATTGTGGCTGACATAACCACCACCATGGCCGGCATTTTCAGATACAACTTTTACTTTAATAACTTGGCCGGATGAATGATCATGGCCGTGATCGTGTCCATGCCCATGACCGGAATTGCCACCTCCTCCCAAAAGTCCACCCAATATTCCAGCATTGGCCACGGCCAAACAGGCGAACAAACACACAAATACCTAGGGAAGAGTAAAAAACAAAAATTGGTAAATTTTATTCACTTAATCTATCTCTTCATCCACACCTACCTTCATAATGTTAAACCGAAAGCTTAAATGTTACGGGATGGCAAACTTAAGATGTGCGTGTGTTATCGAATGCTTGTCACAATCGTTTGTTGTCAAATACCGCCAGTTCATGACATTATATACTAGATCCAATTTAGTGGTCACCACCATCAGCGAGTCCAACAAAAGATAGTCTCTCTCTCTGCACCGCTCTTGCGGCGATCATAGTTGACATTTCTTGTTGGTAACGTAAAATTCATTCATAATTGCTGCTCATCTTCTTTTCTTTCTCTCTCTCGTGCCAATTGAAACAAAAACAGCCGTTGGTTGGGAAATCAATTCATAAAAACGCCAAACGTTTGTTGTGGCTTTAATGAAGCATTTCTTTATCGGCAGGGTACTCATTTATTTTTATGATAAAAATCGAGATATTATCCAGTGTTGGAGAAACAATAAATGAACAATCATTAAACAAAAGATTAAGTTTTTGTTGACCAAGTAGTGAAGTTGTTAATGAATTTGAAAATATGTAGTTGCACAAAATATAAATAGACCCTTAATTGCCAACATTATTGTATTTGTTTGTACTTCTGTTTACATTGTTGTTCGGTAGTCAAATAATTAAATTATTGCATATGAAAAAAAATATTTTTGCATTCAATAGCAATTTTCATGAGTTTAATATTGGTACAAAATTTACAAATTCGCGGAAAATATTTTTTAGAAACCATGAAGACACATTGTATATAGTTAGAATTCGATATTGGGGAAGGGTGATTTACAGAATAATAATTATTTATTGGATCAAAATTATACAAAATGTAGATGCACCAAGTAGGACTAATAGTATATTGAACGTAAGGATGCTATATATCAAGCAACGGCTCTGATTTGCTTTAACATGGTAAATCACAGGCTTATCATTGTCCCTCTTTCATCTCAATTGTGGACAGTGACCTCTCCGCGGTGTCACTTGGGGTACATACTTTCATCATCCGTTGAAATAGTGCGCTGAGGTAAAGCCCAGGCTTATCTTGGTCCCTCTTTCATCTCAATTGTGGACAGTGACCTCTCCGCGGTGTCACCTGGGGTACCTACTTTCATCATACGTTTAAATAGTGTGCTGAGGTGTCGGGTTAGATCCCCACGCTCGGAAAACCCCTCCTACTATCAAAAAAGCAAAGAAAAAGAAAACCAAACCCTCCTACTGTTGACAACCCCCGCAAACGTATAAAGGACCACGATCTGCGAATCTGCACTTGGAATGTGCGTTCGTTGTACAGTACAAAGCCGATATTATTGCCTTTCAGGAAATGCAATGGAAAGGGACAGGCGTTAGAATATCAGACGATTACGCACTGTATTATGGTTGCCATAAAACGAGACATGAATTTGGCTGCGTATTTATGGTTAACCGGAGAATAAAAGACCTCGCCTCCAGATGAGCGAGTCTCATTTGCGCCCATACTCCGACCGAAGACAAAGATGAACAAACCAAGGAAATATTTTACGAGCGCCTAGAAACAGCATATGACCTCTGCCCTGGCCATGACATTAAAATTCTGCTAGGAGATTTTAATGCAAAAATCGGAAGGGAAAATATTTTTGGCCCCACCTTCAGAAAATTCAGCCTCCAAGAAGAAACATCCGATAACGGCATGATTTTGATGGACTTCGCGGCAGCAAAAAACATTGTAGTTAACATCAAGCATCTCGATATACACAAGGTCACATGGATTTCTCCTGATCAAGCAACGAGAAATCAAATTGACAATGTTGTGATAGACGGAAGGCATTCATCCAGCCTTTCAGACATTCGATCGGTACGAGGAGTGAATATCGATTTGGACAAGGTAATGACCTTGTGGCAGCCAAAGTTCGCACCCGTCTTAATGTAGCAGCAAAGGTGCGATCTAATGTAACACGGAAACTCGACGTCGAAAAGCTGCAAACACAACAGATAGCAGAAGCCTACTAAGCTCAACTTATCCACCTGCTTGACGAAAGCACTCCTTGTCCCGATAAAAATATAGAACAATGGCAAAGAATTGCCCACTCCCTACAAACTGCAGCAAAAGCAACCCTTAATGCGAGTGGAGAATTACTGATGTGAAAAACGAAACGTATAGGACAACGCTGAAGAAGAAATAACAAGAAAAACTTTGCGATGAGAAATCGAGATGTACAGGAGAGAGAACAGAAACGTAGTCTTTGGTGAAAGAACAAGAAAAACGTTAGCGTGAGCAAATCGAGCTTGTTAAGGATCTGGAAGGAGCATTTTGAAAAGCTTCTGGTATTAAATAGTGGCGGTGAAGAAGATACCTAGAAAAGATGAGGTGGGAGTAGCAATTAATCGGCTGAAGAACAATAAAGCTGCAGGTGTCGATGGATTACCACCCGAACTATTCAAGATCGGTGGTCAGATGCTGGTCAGGAGCATGTACCTGATGATTAGTGCAATGTGGCTAGAGGAATGCATGCCAAATGATTGGAACTTCAGCATCCTGTGTCCTGAGCACAAAAAAGGAGACATGACGATATGTGCCAACTATAGAGGAAAAAGTCTCCTTCCCGTCGCTTATAAAGTGCTATCCAGCGTACTGTCTGGCTTAAGGCCTGGCAAATCCACCATTGACCAGATTTTCACTCTGCGGCAGATCCTGGAAAAGACCCATGAAAACACATCGACACATTCCACCAACATTGAGAGACAAATTCTCCGAAAGAGATATGGGTCGATCTGCATCGACGGTAAATATTGCCGTCATACGTATCGAGCTGCAGCGACTACGCTGGCTAGGCCATGTTGTGAGAATGGATGAGGATGTCCCATCTCAAAAGGCATATAAAATTGAACCAAATGATGGATCACGTGGAAGGGGATGGAAATATCAAGTGGAAGTCAACATCTCGGAGCATGGACTTTAAAATTGGAAGATCCTCGCACAAGATCTGGCACAACCCAGCTAAGTAAAGTAATAAAACCTTTATATGCGGGCTATTCCCAAAGTTGATACTAAATTTATATATTAGTAGGGCAATTTGGCGCCCAATTAAAACACAAAATATCAAATTAGAGCCAATTCGGGTGCAACCTAGAGCGGCTGCGACCAAATAGCTTCAGGAGACAGATTAGTTGGACAGTTAAATAGCAGCATATCGTGAAGTCATAAACCACATACAGGGCCCGGCATATGCATTCAATTCGGCCACAATACGAATTGAGAAGGCTAATCCTAATTTGCTAAGGAAGCTGTCGCTCTTCCACTTCTATAGGTGTGAGGTGGACAACTAAAACTGCATTTACATGATATTGGTCCATAGTATATGTTACTACTTCCATGCGTAGGGGTTCTCTTTTGTACCGTTGGAACTCCCTCTTTAGGTCTCCCCTTACGTGCCTGAGGGTGGGGGAATCGATCCATGAGGCAGTGACATGTATAATTCCGGCGATAGCAGCTGAGCAGATATGCCATCGAGAACATACAGTCAGCCTGCTCATGTAAATGATTAGTTCTCACAACATTTTTTTCAAAGTTGTTTTCGAATATTTCCAAAAAAGTGGCTTACATCTCCCTAACAAACCTAGATTTTTATATCTGCACATGAATGGCAGGAGATAACGCCAAGAGGAAAGTTACAACACTAAATTAGTTAGGACACCAACCATTGCACAAAATACAATCATACGTTATTTCTAGCCAACGATAGATGACAGCACAATCACCTTGGACTATAGCAGTCCAATAATAAAAACAATGTAATGATTAACGAAACTAACAAAAAAAAAAAAATAATCGAGTAATATGGCGATGGTTTGTGTAAGTTCTTTGCTCTTAAGAGGAGGCTACATTAAAATATATTGAGCAATTTTTGCAAACATGTTTTCACGTGCCAAAACATTGATCTATAAAAAAATACCAATGTACTTGAGTAATAAGTAATAATATTGGCAAACTGGAATGTAAATTTGAATGTCTTTCGGTTGGAATCCTTTATATGGAGGCTATGTCAAACATGGACATATGTTGATCATTTTCTGCATTTTCAGCTACCAAAAACCTTCAAAATACCCACAAAAGGGAGGTACCGTTATGTGGAGCTATACCAAAACGTGAGGCGATATACTCCATTTGCAATGCCAAAAATCCTATATAGTAATAGCAATGTCTGGAAAATTTCTAAGCTCTATATAAAAATTGTCCATCCTTATCGGGATTTCAACAGACAGACAGTCATACATAGATAATGTGTTTAAAAATATATGTATATGATGTCAAAATGTATATACACAACATCTAATGGCGGTGAGACTATTTCAAAATATTGTTCTATCACGAGGTATATTGTCCATTATAATCCACATACTTTTGGCTAATTCCAACACATTCGAATCATATGCATTTCATCAAGTTCAAGTTCTATTTGGATTGCAAAACAGATATTCGTTGCGATCAACGCACACACGTCAAGGTAATCCATAATTTTTTTGCTCGTAAATGCCCATAATGACAGGTTTCCCATGCTGAAGCAACAGAAAATCAATAAACATAAATTGTTCGACTTGGTTCCACCGGCCGCATCTCGTTATCATTTGAATGACATTTAATTCACCAGAAGATCAATGGAATCAACATAAAATTCCCGCACAAAAATTTGTGCATTTTTGCATATTTTATCATTGGATCATTTTTGTAACGCACAATTTTTGTTTTGTTGATGTTGTTGGTTTGTCACCTGGTTGAGCTTGGAAACTATTTTTATTATTTTTATTTAAATTTCGTTTTATTTTTTTTTTTGGAACATGCAAACAATGACACCCAACCACTGGCAGCAACAACACCACCGCCAACATTGAAAACGCGATTTAGTAACAAACTTGTTGAATCTCCATGAGTGGGGCTAGCATTTGAGTGTCTTTTTCTAGGTGAATGTGGTAGGCCTAATAGAAATATGTAAAATATTTAGCTGCGTAATTTGGATTATAAAGAGCTGCATAAATTTAATTTAAATTGTTATTTTGTTGT